TGTGGACTGACTGTTGTAGCCCAGGCTGGCCTGGAAGCCACAAGAATCCTGACTCAGCCTCCCAAGTACTGAGATTACAGGTGTGTACCACCATGCCTGGTTGGGATTTAACTATTTTCTTTTCAAGACAAGGTTTCACTATGTAGTTCAGGCTGGACTTGAACTTACTATGTAGCTCATGGAAACTTATTTTAAGCACTGGAGATGCAGCACTGAATAAAACAGACAAAACTTCCTAATGCCTGCCAGGCTCAGTGGCACACACTTATGATCCCAGCCATCCAGAGTAATAGTTTTTTTTCACAACACAGTGAAGAGATAGGAAAGATAAAAGAAGCTTTTATGAACTCCAAAGACACAGAGAGGATCGAGGGCAGATGGGTCAGGTACTTTGGCCTGAGAAAGAAAGTTGAGGCTTTTATGGACCTTTGTCAAGGGTGGAGTTTCAGGGCAAAGTTTAGAAATATCTGAGGAGCTCATTGGGGTCTTTCCTGTAGCAATGGGAAAAGTAAAAAGATATTACACCCTGCGCTGCATTGGAGAAGAAGAGGGGAGGTGGTCTCTGGGAAGGTAAGCTGTTGTTTTAAGGGCTTCAGCCATATTAGATGACCACCATAATAATTCAGCAGTTCATACTAGGGCCAGAACCTATCACAGAGGCTGAGGCAGGAGGAAAGGCATGAATTGAAGGCCCTTGGGCTACAGAGTTCAAGGCCAGCTAGGATTACATAGGGAGGCCCTGTCTCAGAAAACTGATAGGTCTCACTATGTAGATTGGACTTAGTGATGCTCCTGTTTTCAGCCTCCCAAATGCTGGGATTACAGGCATGCGCTACCACACTCAGTCTCAAACCTTCCTTTTGTAAAAGACAAGGTCTTGCTCTGTAATTCAGGGTGGCCTGGAATTCACCATGTTGCCCGGGCTATACTAGCCTTGAACTTGTCGCGATCTTCCTGCGGCCCCCCCACTGCTAGGATCACTGTACAGCACCATGCCCAGCCAGCAGTTCCTGCTCTCATGAGAACTGACATTATTAAGGGAAAAGCACAAGATACTATGATCAACAACCTGCATATATATCCTGTCTGGTAGTAATAAACACAAAGCAGAAAAGACCAATAGGGTAAGGTGGCCCTGGGGGCAAGCCAGAGGCAGAGGCCCCAAGCTGAGGGAACAGCCAGGGCAAAGGCCTGATGCCAGTGGGGTTAGGTGCTGTGTGACCTCCCCGGGCAGGTGGTTCAGGGCCTGGGACCTCAAGGTGGTTTTGGGCTTTTCCTTAAAATAAGGTGGCAGCCAGTCAGGACTTCTGAGCTGCGGGAGGACCTGAGCTAACTCACGCCCAGCAGTGCCTTGGGTGGCCATGCAGTGGTGACAGTGGAAGCTGGGAGCCCAGTGAGGAAGCCATGGTTGTGGGTCAGGTGAGGGCGATGGTGGCTGCACTGGGAGGCCCGTGTTACTAGGACTCAACCTACTCCT